TTGTCTCTGTTCATGGACAGCAAGAGTTTATAGGGAGAATGAGGAAGCCTAGGAGGACTCGGAGAGTTTCCTTGGCAGGCTCCGCTTGCATGACTGTTTCATTCATTCAACACGGGGTGTTTATTTGAGTATTGCATTAGTCAGGGCTCTTGGTTGCATATGACAGAAGCACTACTCACTTCAGCTTAGAACTTTCCCAGGCGTGGCCTCATCTGGGGGAGCCTGCCCCTTTCCCTCTCTCTTTCTGTTTTCATTCTTTGTTAAGCTCTGCTTCAGTGATGGCTGGATGGTGACGGCAGCTCTTATGGGCTAAGTAGCTCTCATGGAAAAAGAGTAGCTTTTTGCCAGTAGTTCTGACAGAGTCCCAGGGAGGAAGCTCACTGGCTAAAGAAATAGAATGTTGTGTTTGGACACTGGGGAACCTGAGAGAAGGAATGGGGTGGCTCCTGAAAGGAAAATCAAAGCACCACTATAAGAGGGGAATGGACAGAGTAGGCAGGACCCATTGCAGGGCTGCTGAGCCCATAGGCCCAGTGCTGGGCAGGTGCTTAGTGACCCAGGGATGAGCAAGATACTGAGGACCCCCCTTTTTTTTTCTTGGAGTTCATAGTCTACCCAGGGAACCAGAAATTGAAAAGGGAAGGGCAAGAAGGAGGGATGGACAATGTTCTCAGGGGAAGCCCCAAATCCCTCAGGGAGGATGAAGGGGCAGGATTTGAGGATGTCTTGGAGAGGGACAGGCAGGGCTTCTTTGAGGAAATGCTGTTTCAGCTGGGTCCTGAGAGTTGAGGAGGATTTACACTAAGATAGAGTCAGAGTGGCATTCCACACTTGCAGTGTCTGTGAGCCTCTCAGGAATGCCGAGTCACAGGCCCTGCTTCAGATTGCCCAAGGGCACCCTGCATCTTACCAGCATTTCTGGTGACCAGAGGCACAGAGCAGCTCAGGGATCCCAGAGATGAGGTGGAGAGGGGAACTGGGGAAGACCAGGAGTGCTGGAGCATCCTGAGTTGAGGGTGAAGAGCCTAGACCTGAAGGCAGGCTCTAGGTCAAGCACAAGTCTTGCTAAAGATTTTAGATATTTTTTTCTAATTAAGGGAACTGGGGAGGTGCTGTTTTGTTTTAGAAAATGTCTTACCTTATAACCAGACTGTTGATTCTTCTGGCTTTGGCCTCCTGAGTGCAGAGATCACAGGTGTCCACCACCCCTGGCTGTCATGGGGCCCTCAAGCATTCACCCTGACTGCTTCAAGGACTGGAACAGTGTGAAACAGATGTACTGGAGGCCACCGCTGGAGGACAGAGAAGAGGGTGGGATTTTGCCCAGGGAACCAGCAGGGTTATTTGGAAGTAGTTAGAGCTCAGAGTTCTCAGGTGGTAGGTTGATGAGACAAGGTGATTTGAAGGGGGGGGCATGAATGGTCCCGAGGTCTGGAGCAACAGAACTTGGTGCAAGCGTTTTCTGGGATGGGATAGCTCAGGAGGGAGGAGAAGGGGCAGGTGGTTCATGCTGTGTTCACAGGCCTGAGGCAGCTGTCTAAGGAGGGTGTGGAGTGGGAAGAGGAGACGTTCTTAGGATGGTATGGTGGAAGACGCTGCACAGAGACACAGAGGGATGAGCACTTTCCAGTAAGGGATGGATGGACAGCTGAGCCAGTTGCTGGGGTGAGGCCAAGTATGATGTGGACCGCACAGAGGAACACTGTGCAGAGGGCCTGGTGTTTGCTGGGATATGACTAAGGCCAGTTCTGGAGAGGTGTGGTGACAGCAGATGGCAGTGCTGAGGAATGAGTGGAGATCCTGAGTGCCAGAGAGTGGAGGCAGGGAGATCCTAGTGTGTGGACCTATGGAAAAGAGAGAGCCAAGTGATGGAAAGAGACCAAGAGGGCCAAGAGAGCCAAGTGATGGAAAGAGACCAAGAGGGGGAGAAGGGGGAGAGGGAGAGAGAGGTATAGAGAGACAGATATCAGGAATCTGTTGTGCTTTGGCTATCAGGAGGTTGTGGGGTTGTCAGGGAGGGAGCCTCAGGCAGGCCCAGAGCAGACCCTCAGGCATCCTCGGTGAACTCTGTGACTCACCATCAGAAGACATCCCCTGCTTCAGACACCATCTTCTGAAAAACTCTTTGAATTTAGCTCAGGAAGTTCCCAGACTCTAAAGGCAGGGCCAGCTAGGAAATGAAGGAGTTGGGCTTGCCTTAAAGATTCTGGGTGGGGATCTTGTATGTAGCTGGTGTCGGGGTCTTTTCCATCTGGTCTCTTTGCATGTATCATGGTTGATTCTGTGGCTGTCGTTTGACTCTCTGGCTAGGAGATGTCCCCATTGTATGAAGCTATCTGCTTTCCAGGGATTTAAAACCACAGTGCTCTCAGCACACTGATTTGTCCAGTGCAGATGTTTGTTCAGTTCAGTCCAAAGGCTGTGCTGACCCGTCTTTGCTGCTGCTCTTTGCTGGTTTGTTCATCCCATCTGGCACTGAGCTCCTGGAGTGACCCTTTCTGGGTCTTTGGGGCACCTGACCCCTGAGTTGTTGCGGACAGCCTGAGACCTCCAGATTGAAGGAGTGTGATCTGGACCTTTCAGTCTTTAACATTTTTTTTAAAGATTTGTTTACTTTTATTAAACACGTATAGGTGTTTTGCCTTCATGTGTATCTGTGCACTATGTGTATGCAATGCCTGTGGAGGACAGAAGAGGGTGTCTGATCCCCTTGGAACTGGAGTTACAGACAGAGGGTGCTGGGAATTGAACCCTGGGTCCTTTGGAAGAGCAGTCTTAACCACTGAACCATCTCTACAGTTTCCAATTT